CCGTACATTTCTGCCATATGTACATTGACTGACAGTCACCACTGATAAGCTACCACTAAATATTGTAGAAACGTAATTTGCTGTAAAGTTGCTTTGCAACGATTTGTATCGTGAAAAGCGCTATACAAATAAACTTGAATTGAAAAATTGAATAGACAATGACACTATATTTGTACATATAAAATGTTAAATGAACGTTGGACACATTTACTTGGCCACTGTCTATGGACAGTATCTGGCAACGCTTCCAAGGTAAACAAACTGTAAAATCATTTTGAAGTGAGATTAGTTGCAGAAACCTCTGAATATGCCTTAGCCTACTAGTGTAATTCCTGTGGGTGTAGTTTGCAAAACTTGGCTGTTGGATCCATGTAAACAGTGGGTGACCGTGATTTCACCAAGTACAAGATGTTCCTGGATCAACATCCTTGTTGATCCTGGAACAACATTCCAATTAACCAATCAGAATTGAGGGATAACTTTTCAGGAAATATCTGTTTTAGGCTTACGATCAGGGTTAGGTGCTTCTACACCCTTGTTAATCAGCTATCATTTCACACTGATTTTAGGAATAAATTATGGGTAGGGTTAGGTTTAGGGGTAGGGATTGGGTTTAGTCTATATTTTTGGACAGTAATGTTGATCCAGGATCAACAAAAGATGTTGATCCAGGAACATGTCTTACTTGGCAAAATCACGGCGACCGTAAAAAGTGCTATACGGTTACTTGTGTTACATCCTTCCCATGGTATTCCTGGTATCTTGATATGGAACTAGATTTATATTTTTAGCTGGCCATGCCTTTAATTTAAAAATTGAATATAACTTTGTACATATAGTGTTGGTGAGCAATACTAAACATTAAACATTTATTGCAGACCCGCTTCCCTGCCAGGCTGCTATTATGATAATACACTTATGAATGCGTTTCTCATTCATTTATACAGAGGGGTGAAATTATTGTTTGTGGTAATCGACAGCTTTTCACAGATAAACTCATAAACTCAACCTAGATTATAACTTTAAGGAAACTCCACATAAGTGGCTGCTTTCTTTGGTCAGAACAAGTATTTCTTTGCTATTTCTGTTTTTCTGCTTTCTGTGTATGAATAACTTTCAATTTAGTGTTACTGGTAAGCAAACCAGTGGAATATTCAAAAGGATTGACCAGTTTACCAGTTTTGACAGTTCATCTCAACTCATTCCAAAGTGTGCCGATCAGTGAGTGAAAAATATCCCACTAATTTCAGAATAAATGAGAGAACTTGAGTAATTACTGAGATTGACTCGTGATGATGTTGCATCTTGCTTTGATCTTCTTCTCTGAAGAAGATGAACAGACACACCAGGTGGCGTCTTCCATATGGTCTCGCTTCAACTGACACCACACATGCACACACACACTTATCAGCACACTCAGACTCATTAGCACCCAATTCACACTTTGCGTTGAATTTTA